TTAACTTTATACACAAGTGCCAAAATACTATAATTAATTTGCTCATGTATGGTACTTTCACCTTATGTATATAAATAACTCGGTATAAGCTTGTATCATCAAACACATATCTAATAGATGAAATATATACACTGTACATATAATAACTAACTAGTTATAAAAATAATATATATATATATATGTTTGGACATGTGAATGTGAGGTTTAAGGAACCTCAGTATAAAGTTACTCTGGTCAAGAAGTCTACTGGTTGGTACTGAATAACTTAGTAGGGTTTTTTTTTTCTGTCATAGTACTATCAAATTGACATTAATCATTCTGAGTTAAAATAACTTAATAATTATAACGTTATCAATGACGTACGTTTCTATGTCTAAGGGACCGGCATGGCCAGGTGGTTAGGGAGTTCGACTCGCAATCTGCGGGTCGCAGGTCCGAATCCCCGTCCCACCAAACATGCTCACCCTTTTAGCCGTGGGGGGCGTTATAATGTAACAGTCAATCCCACTATTCGTTGGTAAAAGACTAGCCCAAGAGTTGGCGGTGGGTGGTGATGACTAGCTGCCTACCATCTAGTCTTAAAGTGCTAAATTAGGGACGGCTAGCGCAGATAGCCCTCGTGTAGCTTTGCGCGAAATTCAAAAACAAACAAACTTCTCAGTCTACGTTCATAATACGTAAATACAAGTGAATGTTAGTTACCTGTGTAGCACACGTTTTATGTAAACACAGAACACCTTTAGCACGAAGAACAAGTTTGGTTCACACAGTTCATATTTCAGCAATTTTAAAGAAGTTTCTAAATAAATCAATTCCAATGGACTATCCTGGTCAAAAATCGCTTAAGACACTTTGAGTAACCTTAGAATACTTATCTCAGCCTAACGCCGCAACTTAGTCAGACTACTTATAACACTTTGATGTGTAGAGCCCGAGTTCACACGAAAACATACAATATAATGGGCTTACCCATCATGGATACGTCGTACTCGACGGTAAACAAAGCCCTCCCTTCCAGCTGTTTTAATACTGCCAAGGTGTCCTGCAGAGAAGCATTACCCAGGTTAATGTTTTCCACTGCTAATAAACGGTCTCCAGCTTTGATTGTTCCTTCCCTATAAAATGAAAAGCAATGAAATATTTTTAAGTTGAACACCGAAATGTGACAAAGCAACGATAATCAATAGGCTTAATATTCGTGATAATAGTCTAACGATTTTTATCCCTCCCTCCCCCAGTGGCACAGTGGTATGTCTGCGGGCTTATACTGCTAGAAACCAGGTTTCGATACCCGTGGTGGGCA